GAGGTAAAAGTGTTAGAAAGAGATTGAACTTTATTTTTTTAATCCCAAAATGGTTCCCTAGCTGATTTGAAACCATTTGTTGAATAATTGATCTATTACCCACTGATTTGAAATTCGACTTTAATTATACACTAAATTTCCTAATATATATTTGGTTCTATTTCCAGACTCCCAGACTGTTTCTTCATCAGTCTATTTTACAAGAAGGTACTGTTTTAATTATTGTAGCTTTGTAATGTATTTCAGTATCTATGCTAGTTTCCTCTGTTTGCTATTCTTTTTCAGAATTTGTTTGGCTATTCTTTCATGGTTGTTTTTTTATGTGAACTTTAGAATCACTTTGTCTACTTTAAAAAAAAAATCCTCCGTGTGTGTGTGTGTGTGTGTGTGTTTGAAGTGAAGAAAAGTTTAAGAGAATGACATCTTTATAACATTGATTCTTTCTATTCACAGTTCTCCTTCATTCTCAGTTATCCCCTTTTCCACAGAGAAGGTGGCTAACAGGGCTGTTGTGTACAGTTGCACAGGTTGTATACTACACCATCCTAGTACTAAGGCTGAGAGGAGCCATTGGCACCTGCAAACAGGATATGAGCTCTTCTCTCTGGGCTGATCTGTCCATCTTCATGTATGATCAATACTATTAATAGCCACCCCTCCTAGCATGTGCCAGGCTCTGTTCTAAGCAGTATATATTTATTCATGCATTTAATCTTTAAAACAAACATATCCCCAATTTATAGCTAGGGAATCTGAGGAACAAAGAAGTTAAGTAACTTTCCCAAGGTCTCTGATTCTGTTACCCTTCTGAGCATTCACAGCACAGAAATCTTTTCCTGCACATAAATACGCACACACACGCACACACAGATATGTGTACACACACAGAAACAGACCACAGACACACAGGCATGCACACACAGATGTGCACAGACACACACATTGACATTCACAGATACATACATGGACATACATGCAGACACACCTGCACATACACAGACACACACACATGCACACACAAACACATGCACACGCTCTGTTATCCCAGCAGCATCCTCTTCCCCTCAGCCTGTCACTCTTCCTACAGCACACACCTTGCCAGCCCCCCTGCCATCTCTTGCTTTCGGACCAGGCAGGTCCTTGAGGAAAATCAGCTGTCACTGCTCTGAGTCCTGGGTAGGGCGTCCCTCCCAGGATCCCTGTATCCAGAGGGCAGGGGGTCCCTTAGGAGGGCGTGACTTCACCGCAGGAGCTTGGGGAGAGGAGCCTTGTGAGGATAATGGGAAGCAAGGAATTCGGAGCCCCCAGCCCAGGGCCTGGTACCCAGCAGATTCTTAGAGAAAGGCCTCTCCTTCCCTCTCCTCCTCCCCAGAGTTATTATCTCTAGCAGCCTCTGGAATCAACCCATCCAAGCAAAAGTCATTCTGCTGCAGGCTGGCGCCCCCAGGGGGGCTTGAAGAATGAACAAGCAAACGCAGACCTGGGAGCAAATTGCCCAGTGAGCAGGTTTACAGAGGTGAGGGTGTCTGGGCACAGAGCATGTGTGTGTGTGTGTGTGTGTGTGTGTGTGTGTGTGTGTGTGTTTTCACACATACGCACATGTGTGCATACAGACACACCCCCCGCCCCTCTGACTGTTCTGGCTTTGAGTTAGCCCCACATGGAAGGGATTTAATCATTCAGGGGCCGGTATCGTTATTGTTTTAAAACAAACGAGTGATGACAGCAATGAACAGAGGGTTTTTAAAAGCGCGATTCAAAGGGCTCTTGAAAGCTGCTGGAGAATATGAATGCGCCTTTGAAGTGAGAATGTGCCCATTTGTTAAGCTGAGAGCAAAGCTGGCTGCCTGGTGGTCAGCGGGCAGTGAGTCCTTTTCCTTGGCAAATGGGTGCCCACCAGCCTCTCCACCCTCCCACTACCTGGCCAGAGGTGGTCTAAGACCCTGGAGGCACAAATGCCCCTGGAAGGGACCAGCAGTGGTGGTCACACCTCCAACTCCACCCTCAGAAAGAAGCATCTTCTTAGCTGTTTTCAAGATGCTGCATTCACCTGACAGTTGTTAAGAGCAATGGAAAGACGTGCATGCATGAGCAGGGAGAGATGTGTGATTGAAACTTCAGCAGTCCAGGCATGGTGGCTCATGCCTGTAGTCCCAGCACTTTGGGAGGCCAAGGCAGTTGGACCACTTGAGGTCAGGAGTTTGAAACCAGCTTGGCCAACATGGTGACACTCTGTCTCTACTAAAAACACAAAAGTTAGCTGGTGGTACACGCCTGTGGTCTCAGCTACTCCGGAGGCCGAGGTGGAAGGATCATCTGAGCCCCAGAAGTCAAGGCTGTGGTGAACCAAGATCATGCCACTGCACTGCAGCCTGGGCGATGGAGCGAGACCCTGTCCCCCCCAAAAAAATAAAACATCAGCAGTGAGACAGTGAGACACAGAGGGAGCGGTCTAAGTGGCCTCCTGCCGGCACCTGCCCTCTGAGCCACCCTGAGGCCACTCTCAGGTGTGCCCCTCTGGTGGTCTCCACAATGAGGGTTAGCAGCAGCCAGGGTGGGAGTTCAAGGAAAAGCCTCCCAACCTGCCGCAGCTATATATTCATAAGATTGAGCCCTTGGGCCCTGGGGGCGGCGGTGCAAGATTTTGGGGTACTGTGCAGCAGGGTCAGCTGACTTGGGCCCCACCTGTACATGATGGCTTCTGTTACGTTGTAAATCTTTACCTGAACCCAGTGAGGCCTGAAAGCAAATGCTGAACCTGTCCAAAGACATGGATGTTCAGTACTGGGCAGATCTGATGGTGAGAGGATGGACCTGGGTCCCGGGCTCCAGGACCTCCTTACGTTCCAACGTGGGGTGCAGGAGAAGCTCCGCTGCACCCAACCACAGCTGCCTACCACCTGGTCCACTCCCTTCCAGCTGTAAATGGCCCCTCACGATCCCCGTCCTCTTCTTCCTCTGGTTGGTTTGCTCCATTTCTTTTACTTTTTCTTTCCTTTTATTTATTTATTTTTTTTTTTGTAGAGAGGAGGTCTCACTATGTCCCCCAAGCTGGTATTGAACTCCCAGCCTCAAGTGATCTTCCCACCTCAGCCTCCCAAAGTACTGGGCTTACGGGCATGTTTCATTTCTTAAGCCAGAAGAAGGCTGTCTGGTGTTTCCCACCCTCTGGGCTCACAGGGGAAAGTTGGCTGTCTGACCAAGACGGGCCTGGGGCATCAGCCAGCACTGAGGGTGATGGAGCCCCTTCCCTGGAGGGGACACGGTACTTAGGGTTGAGGAAGGAAATGAACGTTGGCAGAACATCTACTGTGGGCCAGGCATGGAGCCAGCATTTTCACCATCACTATTTCCTTCCAGCCTTAGACGTTAAGGTAGCTATTTCTTTTCCTGTGTCTGCTGATAGAGAAATAGAAATTCAGAAAGATGAACGCTTGTCCACCCCACACTGCTGGGGAGTGGTGGAGTAGATAGACAGGTCTGTAGATGACAGACCCCCCCCACCACCACTGGCCTGAAGGTCAGGATGCCCATGGCCTGCCCTGCCAACAGCTTCCTGTGTGGCTTTAATTACTTCCCACCCATCTGGGCACAGTGTGGTCACTGGAAGCTGCATAACATTGGGCTGACAAGCCTGGACTGCCCCCGGCCGGCTGCTTCAAGCCCTTGGCACATAGTAGGTGCTCACTAGGTGAGCTGTTGCATGGTGCTTTCTAGAACCTGCTCCCTCAAATCTATCAAATGCAAGGCTCTTTGGCACAAGCTCTGGGGGCTCTTCCCTGATATCCTCCACCTGGATCTGGCTTCACAGAGGAGGGAGGTGTCAGCTCAAGTGCTCTACCTCTGAAGCTGCCTGCGGGGCTGAGCGTCTCCTGCCCAGCTGTGTGACCTTGGGCAGGTTTCTAACCCCTTGAGGCCTTGGTGTCCCCTCCTCCAAAATGTAGATTGTAATCCTGTCTAGTCGTGAGGTTGCTGTGAAGATTAGATGAGCATATGTGAGAGCCCCTAGAACAGCCTGGAACATAGCAGGTGCTGTCATCTTTGTGGATATTGTCACCAGATGCTGGCTCCTGCCTCCCAGCCCCACCCCTTCCAGAAAAAGGCAGATGTCTCCGAGACGGGTTAGAGCCCCTCCCCTTTCCTCCGTCTCCCCAATCCTTCCATCGGCTCCCTTGTGCATTCACATCCACCCTCCCCCCAACTGACCAGGAGGGCAGAGATCCCATTTCCATCTAGAGCAGCCAACTGAGCAGTCTTGTGGAGTCCGGGGCGAAGTTCACTGTCTCTGTCGAGAGAACTGTGGTGGGGCGGAAGGTCTATGAGGCTGTCTGCTCAGAGGATGAGGGTGACTGCAGAGAGGGGGAAGCAATCCTTCTGCCCCTCACTCACCACCTGGGCAACCAGGCAGCCAGCCTGGAGTGAATGAGGAAATAGAGGCAGGCTGACCCAGGGCCCAGGATAGAAGGAGCAGGCAGCAGTGGTCATGGGGCTCCGCTGGATGGACTCTGTGCTTGACGTCTTTAAGGGCTTCCCCGGCCTTGAGGAGCAGGACTCAGGAGACCCTCTACCCCCTACGGCTCATGTAAACCCACCTCCCTGTTTTCCTTATGACATTGATATTCCCTTTGGCTGGGCCACAGAAAGTGCCCCTCTTGCTTCCTGCCCTGGAGGGAGAACCTGGAAGCAGAGTGGATGGGATGGAAGCACAGCTGAGAGGGAATGATAGAAGGTGCTGTGTGGGCTGGCAGCAGGGCAGTAGCCCAGTGTGGTCTGGGGAGGCAGGAAGCAGAGCTCTGGTTGGCAGATGTGGGGGACTCACGCTGAAGACCAAGCCTTGGAGTCAGACTGACCCAAGTTCAAGTCCCTCCCAGCCACCAGACCTTGGGAAAGTTAACTGGCTGCACCTGCTCCATCTGCCTAGGGGCGTTAGGGTCCTAAACCAGCCAGGGCACACAGGTGAGCAGGTGGTCACCGGCAGCTTTGTCTCCCTGTTTCTGCAGATGACGTGTCCCCGTATTTCAAGACAGAGCCTGTGCGGACACAGGTGCACCTGGAAGGAAACCGCCTGGTGCTCACGTGCATGGCCGAGGGCAGCTGGCCGCTGGAGTTCAAGTGGCTCCACAACAACAGGGAGCTGACCAAGTTCTCCCTGGAATACAGGTAACCTGCGCCGCCTGCCCTCCTTCTGGCTGCTGGGGCCACTGCCCTGCCTTGAGAGGGCAAGGTGGGGAGGGGGTTTGCCTGACAGTGTGGGCCCCGGGGCTCCTGGGTGCCTGGAGTTCCGGAAGTGGGTGGCAAAGGCAGCCCTTCCCCAAGGTGAGATGGCCCCACCCTGCTGATCCCTGCAGAGGATGGCTGGTTGGTGGACCAGCGTCGCTGCCCAGTGGTCTGTACTGCAGTGCACAGAAGCAGAGGTGGTGGTCGGGCACAAGGGCTCACTAACAGTGGCTGTGATGACCGTGACCCTCACTCTCTCGAACCCTGCCATCTCCAGGGGGCTCTTGTTGAGGGGCTGGGGTCCAATGGAGGGGTGGGGTCTGCAGCAACCTAGGATCAGTGAAGGAGGGATTTGGGGTCAATTCAGGTGAGACACGGAGAAGGCCCACCCAGGGCCTCTGGGCTTCTCTTCGCTTCCTATCTGTGCCCATGCAATGGAGCTCTTCAGCCTGACTGGCCTTTCCCTGCTGGGACACTGCCAGGTGGGGGGGACCAGGTTTCAGCAAGGGTGGATCTGCTGCCAGCAGGGAAGCAGCCCCTCGCCCAGGCCAACCCGGCCTTCAGCCTTTCCTGCTGCCACAGACTGGGATGGACACTCCCTCCTTCCTGCTCTCATCCTCCCATCTCTGCCTTTTTTATTGGCTCCAACCCTGTGGCTGGTGATTAATCCCAGGGCCTGATGTGCATAATCAGTTTTGTTGAGGAAACAAGATTGTCTTGCCCTGGGGATGTTGATACAAATCTGGCAGCCTGGGATGGGAATGCAAATAAGAGGAGGGGGTTTAATTGCTTGAAGATCTGTCCTTCAGGAGAACCACCCTTTAGGGAGTATGGAGGCCAGAGTTTGGAGTGACCTCCCACCCCAGTCCTTCTGCCTTAACCCTGGACTGGATGGGCTGGTGTAGGCCACATTGGTAAAAGGAAGCCCAGGACAGGGGACCCCTCTCCTCCTGCAGAGGGATACCTGGACAAGCAAGCAAGAGTTCCTACAGGGCTGGCCACTCCAGGCCTCCAGTTCTCTAGGGAGACCAGAAGGCTCTCCCTGAGCAGTCCCTGCTGTGCTTTTCAGCTGGGGGCCAGAGCCTCTCCTGGCCACCACCTGGCCACCATCAGGAAGTTGTGACCCTCTCTATGAAAAGCCCCTGCATCTCCTTAGGCTTTGAGCTTGGAATGGCTTATTGCGCGTGCAAGTGGTGCCGGGCCCAGCCTGCCCTTGACTTCTTCCAGCAGGGAGCTGGAAGCAGGATCCAGGAGGGGAGGAGGAGAGTTGCTTTCTTATCTGGTTCAGAGCCACTCTTCTGGGGCCCTGGCACTGCTAGGATGCAAGGGTGGGTGATAGATACACAGAAGCAGGTTCCAGCTCAGAGGAAGGACCAGATGCAATGGGCTACCTTTGGAAATAGCCCTTGTCCCTGCAGGCATTCAGGGAGTCGATGGGGTCCAGCTATTGATGATGATAGTGATGATTATGATGATGATGATGATGATGATGATGATGATGATGATGAATGGAAGGGGTCCAGCTATTGATGATGATAATGATGATGATGACGATGGAATGGATGGGGTCCAGCTATTGATGATGATGATGATGATGATGGAGTGGACAGGGTCCAGCTATTGATAATGATGATGATGATGGAATGGATGGGGTCCAGCTATTGATGATGATGATGATCATGATCATGATCATGATTGGTGATGAGGATGATGATGATGACGATGATGATAGCAATCATAGACAATGAAAAAGAATGTATTATACGGCAGACATGATGTCACTCTGTGATTATCTCATTTAATCCTGCCCACAATCCTATGAGTAGTTTCAGTTATTTCCCCCATTTTACAGATAAACACACTGAGGCTCAGAGAAGTTAAAGCAATCACCTAAGGTCAGATGGTTGAGCTGGGCTTCAAATATAAGTTGATTGACAGCAGAGTGAGAATTTTTTACCGTCCACCACACTGCCTCTCATTGAAGAAGGATTGCTGCAATTGCTTCCTTAATGTGTATCCCAAGCAGTCTTTCTGCTAACTGAGGTCTGCAAATTCTAGAATATAAAGCAATAGGGAGAATGCAGATATTCCATTTTATAGCTGTGCTGAGTGGAAGTTATTCAGGGGAAATAGATGAGCGTGCACCTGGGAAACATCCCTTTGCCTCCTTGCCCCCAAGCGTGTTGGCTCTGGTGACCTAGGGGCAATGCTGTGCCTGAATACAAGTCTGATCAGGATTTTCCTTGAATGAAAATCTTGTGCCCCCAAGGTAAGGTCTGCACTCCTTAGAAGGGCCTTAGAACGCTACCTGATCTGCTCCTGATGGCAAAGCCTCACCTGCTGCCACTCCCACCACACCAGACCATTACAGTCTCAGGACTGTTCCCTGCACATTCCCTCTTCTTGGACTTTGTCCAAACTGTCCTATCCCCTCCATGGGAATATTTCCCCTTTTGGAACCTTCTCTCTCCTGTGGGGCCCAGCTCAAATTTCTCTTTTAGAAAACCTTCCTTGATAATGTATGTGTTCTTAATCTCTCTTTCTCTCTCTCTCTTTTCCTCTCCCTCTCTTTCTCTTTCTCTCTCTCTCTCTCTCACATACATACATACATAGACACACACACACTGCTCCATCTCCTCTGTCCTTTGTGACTGTCCACAAAGTATGGCCTTATGCATCCCCTCACACCTTTTTTGCCTTCTCATTATTTACAGAGGAGACCACAGGTGCACCACAGAACTGAAGTCAGCACTTCCAGAATCTTGGCAGTTCCCCGGAACCTCAGGACTTAGAACCAAGAGCTTGACACTTAGAACCAAGAGCCAGGCCCTCTTCCCTCCAGGCCACTCAGCTGTGCCTGCCTCTGGGTTCATACTTCATGAAGTCATGAGTGACACTGAGAAGTTCAATGTAGCTCACAGGCTACAGATGCCTGATTTCTGGGTGGAAAGAACTTCTCTGGAAGTTTCACTTAGAAAGTCCCAGGGAAGGATTCTGATTGGCCCAGCTCAGATCATCCCTGACCAGTCATGGTGAGCAGTAGCATGGAGCACCCTGATTGTCCAGGCCTACGTCATGTGTCTACTTCAGGGCTTGAGACATCAGGATTGGCACCTCCCACACTACAGCCACGTGGTAGGGAAGAAGGGTGAAAGTTGTTAACACAAGAAGGGAAAAAAGTGGTGGGTAGATAGAAGTCACCTGTGTGTCTGGCTCATAGTAGGTGCTTCTTTTTTTCTTTTCTTTAATTTGAATTTTTTTAATCTCAGTAAAATCATTAGTATCATAAACATCTGTATACATGTACCATTACAATTGCTAACATTTTTCTCATTTGTACTCTCTTATTGCCTCCATACACACATATACACATGCCCCTTTTTGGCTGAACTATTCAAGGATTTGCTGTAAACATAATGTCACTTCATTCCTAAGTAATATTTCCCAAAAGCAAGGCATTTGCCGGCAGAACCAGACACGACACAGTTTTCACAGTTGGGGAATTTAATGCTGATACGATACTGCTGTGTAAAACAGTCTATATTCAAATTTCTCCATTTGATCTGATGGACATACCTTTATCCCAGTGTCCTTCGTGGCCATTGTTGTTGTTCTTGTTCAATGCTGGACCTAATCGGGGACTACACATAGGCATTAGCTGTCGTGAGTCTTGATACACCTTAAATCTAGGACTATTCCTTATTGTTTCTTTCCTACCTTTCATGGCTTTGGTATTTTTGAGAGTCCAGCCAGTTTTGCAGAATTTCCCTCAATGTGGGTTTGTCCAGTCATGTCCTCATGATTCAACTCATGTTAAGGCCTTTGGGAACAATATTTGTAGGTATGTATCCTTGAAGCTTCATACTGGAAGGCGCCTGATGACAGTTTGCCCCATTATTGGTGATGTTAGGTTTGGTGAACCGGTCAAGGTGATGTCCACCAGATTTCTCCATTGTCAGAAGGTTGAAGTATCTTCTTCCCTTTGTTATTGATGAGTGGCCTACAGAGTGATAGCTTGGGACGATGTGAATAACCTCCCAGGACTCTCCCAGCCAGTGGCCTCAGATCCATTGATGAGTCTTGCCTGAATCAGCTATTACCTTGGTGGTTGTGATAAGGAGATTTTCTTGTATTCCTTTTACTCATCTTAGGTGGCATTCTTTTGTAAACAGCTTTCCTTTCTGACCCCCTTTAAAGAAATTTAGCAGCAGTATAAACTCACCCATTATCTTTTTTTATTCAATGTGTTTTAATCCGCCCATGTCAGTGTTGATTTCCATGCTCATCTTAACATAAATTTGGTGGATGGAGCTCCTTCAAGCTGGAGCCTGGGTCCTTTGGACATGTCCCCCATTGCATGGGGGGGACTTCTGAACACTTTCTTGTTTTGGGCTCAACAAAATGTTCCAGGTTCACCTTTTAAATAAATACATACTGAAAACTGCATTCCATAGGAGGCTGGCCAGCTTCATAGCCCATGGCTCTCCCACCACTGCTGGATACTGAGGACTTCCCAGTCTTTTACAAACCCCAGGCTCTCAGTAGGAAGATAATATCCAATTTTCAAGCTGGAAAAATGGCTAAATTTACCCAGCAAGTTGAGAGAAAATAAGATTAGAAGTGCTGCCATAAATTTAACTATGTTTCCAAAGGGAGGAAAGTTTACATTCATGTCCAATCTCTGAGAGCCTTTATTCTTGGTGGGTTCTGTAGCCAAATAGGTCTGGGGTGTGTGTGTGTGTGCGCGCGCGTGCGTGCATACATGCGTGAGCTACATAGAGGCAAGCCTGTGCACCCTTCTGAGTATGTATGGCTGTGGCACAAATGTGCGGGTCCACATCCATCACTGGGAACAGAGTGAAAAGAACGTCGATGTTGAAGTCAGGACTGCACAAATACGACCCTGTCCCTGCTAGCTCTGCGACCTTGGGCAGAAGTGGTTA